ACAAATATGAACATGCCCTGCACTTTTTGTATTGAAAAATAGGCCCAGGCAACAAGGAGACCTATTTTCACCTGTCCGATGGACCAAATGCCCCTTGGTGGGTGAGGGTGGTGACCTCTTGGGGAAAGGAAAGTGGCACAATACATATGGGCAGAAATTTGTCAGTGCCATTCGAGTTAAGGATGCAGGTAACATTGGATTTGGCATTCAACTGCAAGGGATTTATTCTTTAGATATTCTTGCACAGGTAATAACATATATATTTAATTTATTTCTTCTCCCTCTCTACATATGTATATGCCTATATGTACATATACTGGAAATAAACATCTATTGGTAGGGTGCTGGTTAAATTTTGGTGTAAGATATAATGGAACACCACAGATTTCTAAAAATGGAATGAAGGGAAAAGCAAGCTATAGGATAGAATGTATATTACTATCTAATTTATGGATATGTATGATTTATATTGTTCATGTGCATTAAAATTTCCAGATGGCTACATGAAGAGCAAAACACAGTAGCTATTTCTGGGAGGTAGGGACTTGAAACACTTATTTTACAGCTTCTTTACCATTTCAATATTTAAAAATCATGCACACTTGATTTCAGATTCAAACACTAGGTTGAATCAAAATACCAAAGCAAAAAAATAAACACAAATCTGAAAGTGCGACATCCCTGATTAACTAACGTCCTCTAGTGTCAAAGCCCTGTGAGGTGAAAGTGCTGGCAAGGGGAGCTCTCTTGCTCACTCCCTTGGTCTCATGGAACATTCTGGAAGGCTGCCAAATGGGCCCTGCTCTTTCAGAGGCTGGTGCAGCCATGCAGAGGATGTGCCTAGCCTGTGAGTGTCACCTGTTTTAATATTTGGAGGAAAGTGCTCTCAAATCTTCACCCAACTTACATTATCACTGTAGACCTTAAGTTCCTTGTCCACAGCCTCATCCATGATGCTGGCCCATTCATCCAAAGCTTCCAATTTGGAAGGCACATCGAAAGGAAGGTCATTGGAATGGAAAGCAAAATAGGAAAGAAATGGATTTATGACATTTACCCTTGTCCTTTAAAAAACATGCCTAAGTCATCCATGAGACTAAATAAATCCATTAAATTATCTAAAGTCCAACTTGGAAGTACTCATAAAATAGGAATGTAAAGGCCAGTTTCAGTGGCTGACTTAAGGACGCAAGTGTGGTGTGTTTCTTGAGTCCAGTGAATGTCAGTCCGATCAAGGGATGTTTGAGGGAGTCCCAGATGAAGTCAGGCAGGGAGCAGGCAGATGGCTGGGCAAGGCCCTGGGGTGAGTGGTTAGACTCACAGGCAGACTGCCACAAAAAGCACAGTTTGCCTGGAGCTGGACATGAAGGAGGACAGAAGGGGAGTTAGAGAGCACACAGAGAGTCGAGGCCAGCCCTCAGAGGGCTTGGAAGGCGGTGGGAGGAACTAAAGGGAGATGATTTTTTTTTTCTTGGAACTCTCACAGAATGTATCTGTCTTCCACCAGTTTCGTCATCCATCGCCTGTTTCTGGAAGGGTCTATGGTTTACAATCGCTGGTCAAAGCAGAAGAGAGGACTCCCCAGGCGAGTCGGTTAAAGTCTACCAGAGAAAGCAGACGTCTCTGCTCTTCAAGATCAGCTGTGGCGGGTGGCTCTCTGGGCCAGGAGAGCTGCCCAAAGCCTCCAGGGCAGTGGGGTGCAAATTGAATTGTGGAATCGATAATTACAACTTGAATCTCTCTCCCCTACTCCCTGGAAGGTGTGGCTTCTGAGGTGAGGGCTTGGGGGAAGTGGCTGTCACAAGATAATTGGGTCCCCAGGGAAATGACAGTGGCCTATTGCCTCAGCTTCTGGATGATACCTTCAAACGGGGACATCCAGAGAGCCTTGAAAACCCACCAGGTTGGCACAGGGCTGACGGACTTCGACTGATTTTGCATCCTCATTATGTCTTTGTGGGCAGAGAGGGGACATTCTTTGTGATCCCCACCCTCGTTGATTTTGCCCTGCTTCCCTGTTTGATTCAGTAAGAAAAGCCCCGACTCTTCTGGGCTCCTGATGGGATGGGACAGAGAGTTCCACTGAGTGCAGCGACACAAGGCCCAGGGGCCTGTCTGTCTGCAAACCTCCCACGGCAGCCTCGGTCTGCACTGGATTCTGTCCACTTGCCACCTCTGACAGTACCCCAGCGGCCACACGTGGCACACACATCTCCGCCACTAGGGTACTTAATGTGACAGTGGCGATGTCTGCCGGGGAGAGGAGCATGGGAGTTTTCAAAAGCCATTTAGGAAAATCCAACAAGGACCCACAGGAATTCAAGCAAGCCCTGGGGAAGCTCCCTGTGAGGGGCACCAGAGGAGTGACGTGAATGAACAGGGAGGACAGGGGTCTAAGAGACCAAGGTGCCAGCCACAAGTGTAAGGTGCTGCCTTCTGGGTGACTGCCCCAGAGTGGGCCTGGCCCTGGCCCTCACAGCTCAGCCAGAGCCCCATCATTTGCGAGGGCTATATTTTAATAGGCTTTATTGAGTAATGCACAGTTAATTTGAGGAAGGAAAAGTGGGTGCTTATCCAGGAAGGAGGTGAAATTGGCATTTCTGAATACTGAACAGTAGTGCTCAGAAGCCTTCGATTCAATGTAATAATTAAGCTTATTAACATCAATGGGCTTTGTCAACATGGCAAGTTAAGCATGGTAAAGAAGCAGTAGCAGAGCTATAACTGGAATTGAATGAGAAGAAAACTATTTCTAATTTACTGACCCTTTGGGGATCCCCCTCCATCTACTTCTGCTCTGGTGAGATCATTATCTTCCTGAAGTGGCTCCACAGAGCATGGGGAGGTGTCAGATTAGGTTCAAGTGGTAGCTCTGTCTTATGAGACCTGAGCTACCTCTGGCATACCACCCATCCTTCTTGCACCCTAGCTCCTCATCTGTGCAATGGGCACAGTAAGACTCATCTTTAGGGTGGCTCAGAGTATCAATGCTAATGTGGGTCAATGCCTGGCACACACTCTGCGCTGAATGGAGTCTTTTTCCTGGTCTGATTATGAACAAATCTTAATTCTTCCTCACTCAAAGTGCCTCTTCTCTGAGAGTGATTCTGCATCCTCATTAAGCTTACTTAACACAATGGCACTTCCTGAATTTAGGATAAACGTTTGAGCCATTTGAATTTGCCCTGATAACAATAGTCCCCATGTTACAATGACGAAAATTCTTTGCTTGAGGCTCCTGAGTCTTCTAGGCCTGTCTGTGTACTTCCTCACAAAATCCAGTTTTAGCAAAAACCCTGCTAAACCACTTTAGTAGGAACCCCCTACCCTCAGGATCTGACCGTTTTAGGTATCTGATCACGTTCCTCAGCTCTTCCAGCTCCTAGTGATGTCTGATTACTTTGGCCTGTCTCATGCTTTAACAAATGCCATTAAATGATTTTCTCTTTGACAATAGATGAAGAAAAGGAGGAGAGAAGTGAAGTGACTAGCCCAAGGGCCAGCTCTGAGAAATGAGCAATCAGCACAGATTAACAAGCACCCAAGTGAAACTCAATACTCTTTTCACCCCATGCACCCTTCATGTGATCTTGTTGACCTAGGCAGGTGGGACACCAGTTGGGCTTCCCGTTGCGACATGCACAAATCCTTAAGCTGTTCTAAAGTCTGGCTACCCAAAATGTGATTGGTGGATTAGCAGTAGCTTCTGGGAGCTGCTTAGAGAGGAAGAATATCAGACCTACCGACTCAGGATCTGCATTCACACAAGGTCTCCAGGGGACTGCACTGTGCATTAACATTTTAGCAGCACCTCTCTAGAACACCCTTGGAAATGGAACAAGACAGAGAAAACTGTATTCAGAAGTACCTTCTGGGCTTGCAGAGATGTGGGTGGCATGCACAGTCCAGAATTTGAGTCTGTTTGATAAGTCATGGGGACAGGGGGTAGAATGATGTGTGTGTGTGTGTGTGTGTGTGTGTGTGTGTGTAAGAATACCTCTAAGTTTCATGCTCCAGTACAACAGGTAATAGTTCTTAAACTGTTTCCTTATGAGGATGGGTCTGGTTCATGTGGGCTTTTGTTTTGTGGTGGTGCTGTGCAAGTTGGAATTCTGCACCATAAGGATTCTCCCCTGTCCTTCCCCCATCTAGAATTACCAGACTGGCCTTAATAACATTTAATAAAGCTTTAATAAATCTTTAAAAAATTTTGAGGAGTTCTAAGTTATTTGCTACCAAGGTGCCACTGGATGAATCTATCTGAGGGTGCACACACTCAAGTCAAGTCCTGCTTTCTAGACCTCAGGGGACCCAACAATAGCCTGAACCATCTTTTAATGTAGAGGCTCTTGTTCCAGAGCTTTTGGGTAGGAAGATGAGCTTCAGGGCCTGTCCCATCATTCTGTCTCCCTCATTTCTTGTTTTGAGGGTTCCGAGGCTGTGTGCCCAGAATGTCCGCAGGTCCTTCCAGGACTTAACAAGCAGGACAGCAGGACAAACAGCAAGGGAACCATTCACCTGGGACACTTTCCCCAGCCTAGGAGACCCTGCAGGAAGATAGATTTTGATGGACACTTACAAGCTATATCCGCTGGCTGCAATCCAGAGACAACATTCACTGAAAAAAAAATGGGCAACATTATGAACAGGATGTATGGTATGGTGAACTAATTGGGACCCTTTAGTCCCCAAGAGAATCAATTTTAAAGTCACCTCCTAAATAGCTGGGGGAACAGAGTGGAGATCACATGATTTGGAATAAGAGACCTCCTTGATCTTGAGCAGGTCAAGGCCTGTGGCCTATGCTCACTAAATAGTCTCTTGACCACTAGAGTTTAAATTCTGAGAGTGTGAGATGGTTTTTTTCTATTTTTATATCCTGCCCAGTATATATAGGTATACAGTTAATGTCATTGAATGAACTGCATATGGATTGTTCATTATTTTCCCTCCTAACTCTAGTCATAAATGTTGTTTCCTTCCTTTTCAAAATGCCATAGCAATTGCCTCTTTGGTTCAATGTCTTATCTGAGCCTTGATCTTGACACTAAGTTCCAAAGATAGTGCCGTGGCCATTGGCCTTGATCAAGGCTGCCTCAGTCTGCCATGATCAAGCAGGTTCTGCTTGGCTGGGAGCATGCTAACTCTGTGCTTCTTATCTTCTTGCGGATGGATAAGTAACTACTACAGGTCATCAAAACCATTACAAATTGTACCTTCTGAATAAGAGCTCATGGAGGTGTCTTCATCTGGTTTTATTTCAGGCTTCATAAAAACTGATAAAGGGAAAAAGAAAACAAAAGAAGATGGAGCATTACAATTTTAATCATGCTTTCCCATGGGCTCATGTTGGACATTTGGGATCTGAGGTTCTCTCCGGGCTCATCAAGGAAGGGGAAGAACCAGGGCTGATGAGCTCCATGGGCATGGATTGGGTACTCCCTCTGCCCCTCTTGGTCTCTGGGAACAAGGACTGCCATAAATCAGTGGTGGAAAAGGTAACCTCTCTCTGGCTTTCCCCTATGGTCACTGTGGGGCTAGTCTGGGTCCCCAGGGTCTCTAGGATGGCTGGGGTTGGGGGCAACCTTAGAAATACCCTTCCTGCTATGGAGTCAGCTGGCACCAAGACCGTGGGGACACACAGTAGGGTGTGACCTATCATGGTAGCAAGTGGGCATCTCTGGCATTCTTTGCCAAGAGCTTTCTCAGAGGTGCATAATGGGGGCTGGCTGGGAAACATGGTAGTGGGGACTGACTGATATCAATCGGTTGAGTTAGCCCTGGGAGGCTACTGTGTTTTTTTTTTTAAAAAAAACTTTTGTAAGTTCTTGGTTATCCTTTTACTGTGTCTTCCGTAATTTTATGATCCTAGCTCCTTTTATCCTTTGCCCCATCCCACCTCCTCTTCGCACTCCCAAACACATGTGGACACATGGGTGTACACACACACACACATACATGCACTCACACGCACACACACACACCCACCCTACATTTCATTCTTAGGAGTAGTAGAGAAGCAGGTCCCAACAAAAAAGTGAAAGTGAACTTTCATTTCATTTGCCTTATTTCTTATAATGCCTCAAAACCCAGAAACATGATTCAATTACTTTCACTCTATAATCTGCAGCATATTTTATCTAGGGTTAACTATTCTCTTCTGATTTTCCCATCAATCCTTGGTTTCTAAAACTTGCTACCTGATTTTGTTGCATTCTTTCCAATCTGAAGATAATTTACTTTCACAGTGAAGACAAAATTCAACAGCCATTGAAGAACTTGACTTTCTCTGCATCATTGTGTCAATGGCAGCTCTGCCTTAACCTTTTTGGTCCAATCACATTTTCAAAGTCTTTTGTTGCCTCCTGTATTCTCTTTAGGGTTATAATTATTATTTTTGGTAAGAATGTTTATCCTGGGATTCAGCTTTCCTGATACTAAAAGTTCAGAATCATTTTTCTACAATTCTTTGTCGGGAACATCCTCTTTGCTGTAACTTCTTCACTTGATCTTTCAAATCCAAGTTCTCTAAAGGAAAATCTGTGCTTACACACTCTTTGCACTCTGGGGAGGTTTTCCTCTTCTCTGTCTTGCCAGGTGGCTTGAAGGATCACTTGCCCCCCACTTTCATTTAGCCTTACCTACTTTTCTATACATATAGTGTCTCTGACTCTAGCCCCTTTTCTACCAAGACTATTTCTTTGGACAGGATGTACCTTTTTATATCCATTATCCAATCTTGAATCAGAGGAGGAGTTCAACAACAATTTCAAAAGTATTTAACAAATATTTATAGTTGCTTCCTATGAGCCAGGCACTAAATCTGGAGGATTTCTGTGAGCATGGATATAATGCTTGGTGTTGTAATTCCTATTCTCCTTTGTTTATGATCCTGCTTTGTATCTAGATAGATGGACATGTGGGGCCATAAATAGTCCTTCTGGTCCTCGAGAATGCCTCCTCATATGGATCACAAGGTATTTCCTGTATCTTTAGCATTCTTTCCCCATCAGACCTGCCACCCTCTCGAGTAATAGCTTTCAAGGATTTATCTGGGTAGATTTTGCTCCATATTGAGCTCACAGTCCTGTTGTGCCATGTAAAACTCTGTTTCTGACCCACTGGGGTTGAACAATCCCATAATGAAAAATGCTTTAGAAAAAGGAGACTGACACCCACAAAATTCACCTTAAGCTAGAGTTCTCAGTTCTCTATCAGTTGGGTTCCCCAGAATTCTCTGGAGACCCTGTTAAGAAGGAAGATTTCAAGTCGCTGCAGGCAGGGATTCTGATAAAGGCTGGGCGGCCGTCTTTGCAAGCATCTCGTAGTGTGGCTGTGCAGACCCAGGCCTCCCGGAGCAGCCGTCTCTTGCTGCTGTGGCCTTGCACTACCAGCTCTTTAGATTGCTTTTTTGTCATGGTCTCCTGTGTTTCTCCAACAAGTACATGAGTGCTTTCTGCCCTGATCGTAAAGCAGATTCCTTTTTGTGTCTGCTACTCTTAGGATTCCTTAATACACTGACAGAGTGCCCTTTTCCTCCCCTCCTCTTGACTTTGAGACCCTTGACCTTCCTGGGACCCCATGCTTCCTGGCTGCATCCCCTGCCCTTCCTACAGTGTTTATACCACTAGCTGGAAGATGGATGTTCCTCCTCAGTGCTCCCTGGATACATACTCTGATGAGGTAAGACCTGGAACCATTTTGAAATCAGAATGTAGAACAGCTTGGCAGGAAACACAGCTGGCTGGCTCGCCTTCAGCCTTCCCTGTCTTTGAGCCTGGATCACAGGTCTGGGTCCCTGACCCAGGAGGCTGGGAGGCTGGAGATGGTCTACTCCTTCCCATGGCATTATTCAACTAGCTTGGCTTGCTGGCCCATAAACTCCTGCCTTTGAGGCAGTGACCCAGGCTCTGAGAGCTGCTAAAGATACCTGTGCCTTGTCATTCCATCATACTGGCTCCATTCCACAGACTAGACATAATCACAAACCTATTACCACCAAATCTCTCCAGAAAGATGAATTATAAGCCACCGGCAGAAAGGGAAAGTAATTTCCATGAGTTTTAGGGACTTGCTTTTCCTTAGTTTTGATTTCTGCTGTAATGATTGTAAGAGCAAAAGGCAAGGCTTTCCCTCACCCTCTGAAGGTTCACAGTCATGAAGTGACTATAGACACGCCAAAGAGAAAAGAGACACAAACTTCTCATGCACAGAGGAGAACATGTAACCCCAAGCCCACGATTCAGAAACTTGTGTACCCCTATTTCCATAGAGGGGCAGATGGGGAACGTAGACAGTCTCAAGAGGAAACTGTTTCTAGGGGTATATTGTTTCTAGGGGTACCCAGTGGGCTCGGAGAAACACTGTGGCCTGAGTCAAAGTCCTTGGGGTCTGCAAAATAGACAATGGATTGTAAATGGTTCTCTTTGGAATGTTTAATGAGACCAAAATAGAAGACAATGGTGTATGACAAAAGTCTGTCCAGGTGAGTTGACAGACTTCAGCCTCTCTTCCTGCAGAGTTTAGCTAATGAAGGTTCACGGAAGGGACCAGAGGGAATTGTTCTCTTCCTTGGAGGGTCTGGATTCAAGGCCAATATGGCGGCATCATGGCCAAGACTCTACTGCACCTGCTGCTCTCTAAGTTCCTGTAACGTAAAACAATCAGCATACCAGAGTGCTACATGTTAGGGTGACCTTCCCTGCACTCCTTCATGACCTTCCCCCAAAGCAACTGCAGGAACTTGGGTGTGTCATTGTGCCCTACTTGGAGGTTCCAACACTGTCCACACCTTTGTCTCAGGCTGCCAATGTCCTAGTATTTGATCAGTAGACATTAATGATGGGAGGCCTGACTTTCACTAGACACTCAACCTGTGTTGGCTTTAAGGGACTCAGTTTTGGTAGGACAGACGGCTGTGAAACTTGCCTGTCCAGATCAAATACATGTGGTACTTACAACCTAAATTAAATACAAACACAACAAGCTATGCAAATTAGGCTTAAATACAAAAGGGTCATGGGTGAACACAGCACATAAAGCAATGGTCTCAGCAGGGTCTCTCTGGGGTGGGTTCACAGTGGTAGGTTCAGGCCTGAGTCTTTTCTTCCCACATCCAGCCTCATTCTTCCCCCTCTCTCCTCTCTCACATCCTTTCGAGCTTAGCATTGGCACTTCATAGGCAATTACTCAGGAAATGACTTTCAGAGTCCTGCTTACGAATTTCTACATGAATGCTCAGATTTCCCCCAGCTGTCATGCTTCCTGATTTTGAAATGATTCCAGTTCTTGGGCTTCACCAGGGCACACATGCTGACCCAAGTTCCAACTGAAACCATTTAGCCTGTAAAACACTCCTAGTCAGGCACCGGCTCATTTGGGCCTGTCCTCAGCCTCTCCATTCTTCCTTAAAGGGTTTCTGGCTCCTAATTTCATTTAACCATATTTGAGCTACAAAATTTAGCAGGCACAGTTGGGGGGCAGGGAGGTGAGGCAACCAGGGAATCTAATTTATTGCTGCCATGACTACAGATGTGAAATAAATCTGTGAATCAGTGATGGATCGATCCCACTAAGGCCAGACTTAAATGATTAATCATGGTGAGAAACGCTGTTCAGTCTTCCATCCCCAGGACCCTAAGTGGAGGGCCTTTGGGCTTAATTGGATGGAGAATTAAGACCCCCAGTGCAATCTTGCTGAACCCTCTCCTGTGGGTCTCCCAGTTGTAGCTATGGAAGTTCATTGTACAGATGGTTTTGCCTGGTTCAGAGTCAGGGCTGGCTTCGACCGCATGCTGAGACAGAGTCTGAGGTGACTTCAGTGGCTTTCGCTGTTCTCATGATTATCTGGATATGGCCTATCGCACCGGGGAACCTGTCTCTAATCTGGGAAGGAAATGGCCTGTGTCCCGGAGGGAAAGATTTCCTGTTTCACGTAGAACAAGGACAGGAAGACTGATGAGCTACAAGGGAGGAGACTGAGGGAGGGCATCTGTTTCAGCGCAGAGGGAGCCTGGAACGGGTGGGAGGGGTGGGGTGGCAGTGCTCATGGAGAAATTAACTTCTTTTGCATATATGACGTGGGATGACCCGGGGAGCAGTGTCACACCATTAGCATGGGACACAGTCCCCCAGGCACAGGAAACACTGTGAGCCCATTCTTTCCTGAGCCTCAGGGAGCCTGGTGATGGGACCCCAGCCAGGTACAGCCTTCCTTACCGAACCTGCTTTCGTAGGCCCATTTCGTCTGACTGGCCTGGTGTCTTATGGAAACCTCGGCTTGTTCTGAGTCGGCAGAGATAGTGGCAGAACGTGGGACACCATAATAAAAGGTAGCCTGAGAGGTGCTGGCAATTGGGCTCCTGTCAGAGGGGAACACAGGGGTGGTCAGTTTCTAGTCAGACACCAGGTTAGGACTCAGGTCCATGGCCTGCTGGGAGACTGGGGAGGAGGTGGCTGCTTTTCAGACTTAGACAGGACTCGCTGGGAAATCATGGATTATGGGCCTGCGTGACACTCTGGGTAGCACAGGCCATGTGCGGCCAACTTAAATGATTAAAAATGGTGAGAAATGCCTTACAAAATGAAAGGTTCTCCCGGTACCTTCAAATACCATGGGGTTGGATTGCCATCACTGACAGCAGAACATTCTAGAACATTCCCCCTTCTTCCTGGTTTACAACCCTGTTCATTCCATTTGCCCTTTCTTCCTCACTATTGCTCAAGACAGATGGAAAACCACTGAAGGTGTTAACAGCAGTTTAGATCAAGCATCGAGGCTTGTTCCTGCAGGAGAACTACCATGAACACTTCCACCATCAGGAGAGTTTTCTGAAGGGCCCGAGGGGGGCAGGCATTGGGTATGAGGCACAAGACCTGCTCTCTGGATGCTTAGAATCAAGACAGACAACCCCAAAACGCTGATCCATACTCTGTCCTTTCTCAGGAATCTCTGGCTTTTAACTGGGACCCAAGAACTATAATTGTAAGGAATTGAGAGGAGTTTTTTGGGGGCAATTTGACCCTGAAATCATTTCATGTGTTACTGGCCCAGGTGGCAGAAACAGGCCCTTGGGAAAATGTCCAGTACATACAGGAGAGCTGACTATGGATGATGGAGAAAACAGACTTTGGTGTCAGACAACCTGAACTTACATGTCGGCTTTTGCACACTAGTGGAGTAACTGCTAAGTGACTTATCTGCTATTGTTCATATTGGGACCTCTCCTGATCTGGGGCAGATTTCTTGATGCAGGGACAGAGGAGTGGGTGAGGGCTGGACTCTGAGGCTTCGGATGAGAGGAGGAGGCTGCTTGTCCTAGTGGTGGGGACCGTGGGATGGGGTTTTCCCTTCCATGTCTGTAGTAGGTACAGGCAGGTCTTTCAGGCACCTGCTCAAGGACAGTCGGAGGGCCTTCATCTGTGGCCACAGATCACTACATTCTCAGGGCACAATACTGGAAAGGTGCCCTGGGTTTAGGGGCAAGATGCTTGGGTCCTATGTTAGGTGACCATAGGGGTCAAGGACAAGCAGACACAGGTGAGGTCCCTAGGCAAGTGTCACCTCTTGCTTTGCTCCAGGCCTCAAGGCCAGGTCAGGTCACTCCTCCAGGCCTCCAGAGACTTTTCTTAACCTTTGTAGCGAGATAATGCCTGTCCTGCCTCACTCATCAAGTGTGCACTGGGACCCAAAGAGGTAATGCAAGTCCCCATGAAAGGACTTTGAAAAGGTGTTGAATAGACAGAGCGGGTTATGCTTGGGGTAAGGTAGGAACTCGGGTCACTTCCATCGTGGTGGACATTTCCCCAACACCTTCTCTGTATAGTTGCCTGGGCTGGGACATGGCAGGGCCTCTGTGGTGCCTGCCAGGGTTCTGCTGCAGCCTCAGTTCTCAGGAAGCAGAACCATGGTCCCCGCCTATTTGGACTGAACAGAGCTCCATGTTCCATCCGCGAGGGAGAGAGTACAAGGAGTACTCATCATATTCTAGCCCCTGGGGAGCTTAGACGGCTCAAGGCCTGCTTCCTCAGCTGCTATAGAGCAGGTTGGGGGGCTGCTCTTGCCTGGGGGAACTTGGGCAGTCGTGGGGAAATGGGAGGAGGAGCTCCTCCAGGCCTGGGGTGGCAGGTGGCCTTCCTGTTTATAAGGATGCTTGCTCTGTCGCTGCTCCCCTTCCCAATGCCTGCCTTAACACACATGTGCACACACATCACACTTCTTGCCCGAATGGGTTCGGGGAGGATTCAGTCTCTCAGCTATCTTGTGGGAGGAAAATCCAGGACATTATCCCCAGAGACCCAGCCATGGAGCATACGGACGCTAGGAAGGTCCCTCAGGTCCTCCCTGCTCCTCAGAGCTCTTGGGAACAGAAAATATTCCCCGTGAAATATGAATAAAGGATAGACACATCACTTGGAATACAGCTGACCTGGAACCATGATTTGTGTTCTAGGTGTGCTAAGTGGCTCAAGGCAAGTGTGGGAGCAGAATAGAGAATAACAATGATCCCCAGCCCTGGCAGAGGTGTCCTGCGTGCTAGCCACACGTTACAACTCTACCTCACAATGCCTGAGGTGGACTCTCTTCCTCTTCCTTTATACAGGTGGAGAAACAGGTACAAGGAGATGGAGTGGCAGCCCTATAGCGTACTGCTAGCTAAGCTATGCAGAGACTCAAACCCAGAGCTGAGACTCAAACCCAGGCAGTGTGACTCCGGAGTCCCTGTTCTCAGACACCTTGAAGCCATCATTTTACTGTTAGGCCCCTTCAGTGCCATATCACTGAACTTGCTTTTGGGTGCCAGGAAGTGAAGTGAAGGGGTCTTCAAAAGCTATGCCCTTTATGTGCAAGGCCTTTGAGGGGTGGTTCGCATCAATAAGATCTACCTGGCTAAGCCTCTGGAGGCCTGAAGTGTGGACCAGAGGGGTGGTGCAGAGCAAGAGCAGGATGCCACCTTGCCGGGCCAACAGGAGGCCCAGTCCCCTCCAGCTGACCTTGGGGCTTTCCTACTCAACAAAGTTGGGACTTAATTCCTGCTTCTCACCAAAACCAAACTGGCCTTGTGCACTTTTTAAATCTCATGTCAACCCAGGTCACCAGTGGAGACACTTGACTGCCCACCTCTGCCACCACGATCATCCTTGGGGGGCTTTGGGGGAGTATTGTAGGGAATGAGACACGAGGACCAGGACTGTGGATCAGAAGGCTTGGGGACCCTCCCATACTGGTTTCTTCAGAGCTGGGCACCTAGAAAGCATTTATTCATTTCTTCCATAATGAGTGTCTGGGGTGTGTCAAGTCCTGTCACAGAAATTTAATCAATATTCCCTGAATGATAGTTGACCTTGGAAACAAGCCCAGCCTTTTTCTTTCCCTGGATAGACTGCACCTTCCCTTTGGCCGTCCACTCTCTGCTTACCCAAGGACACTGCCCATGAGCCCTCTGCTGTCTCTGGTGGGTTGAGCTCTTATCTCCAGACTCGGATGCCCTGCCCTTCTATCTCTGGTAGTTCTGGGCACTAGGACCCTGATCTTGGAACCGCCCCCCCCCCGTGAGCAACTCTGTGGCAGCGGTGAGTAGTAGCCCCTTGCTAAACCAACTCTTTCTCAGGAGACCTGCTCTGGAGCCCTACCACATCCCTCCTCATCTTTGGTCTCCCAAAGGTTCAAACAGAATTCCTAAGTGTGAGTTTTCACCTCACTTACCCATCCCCACACCACCGCAAAGACTCTTACCTTGCATTAAGACGAGATAACATCAATGATGAATAAACTGATTTGAAGTCTATTGGAAAAAAGAACAGAAGAACAGAAAGACAATATTGGCAGGATTAGGGAAAAAAAAACTTATTTTTCTTTGTATTTAAATTTTTTTTTTCTTAAAATCCCTGATACTGAAATTGAGGCTTGAATTACAGCAGTTTTCTAGTTTCACTTAACCTCTGTCTTATACATTATGAGACTGAACTTTATAAAACGAGACAGAATTCAAGAACAGAACAAGAAACTGTGGATTTTGGAAATTTGAGTTTCTTTTGCTAATCTCTTAGGTGTTCACAAATTCCTCCCTCTGTCAGGGACAAAAGACATTTGTCTACCAGAGATGACCAAGGTACAGAGGACATAAAAATATTAAGAATTATTTTTAACTTTAAAGAAATTGCTCATATCATTTATGATATCACTTGATTGATTGCCTTGATGGTATGACATCAAGAATTTCACATACATTGGGATAAAATATGCCATGAATTCAAGGAATAGAGAATGGCAAAGTGGAAGCAGTCAGGAAATGAGAACGAAAACAGTTCAACTTGAAACTTAAATGTTTAACAATTATACTTACCCAGAGTTTACTCATGGGACAGAATGGGATTCAGGAAATGACTTGCCTATGGGAGTGTGATGTCTACAAAAATTAAGAAACATGGGGAAATGGTGAAACTGTAATAGTCAGTTATAAAAGTAGAATACGAGCTGGGTATATAACATGTTTAAGATGGTTAAAAACAAGGCACTACCACAAAATGACAACCATCACTGACACATATGCAGATGATAAGGGTAGGAGACAGAATACAAAGCACTAAAATGTGAATTTGCTTTACCTGTGTTTGGATGTTAGCAGATAGGGGTGAGGTATTTCTACTTTTTTCAAATTTCCTTTTTTTTTTTTT